CTTGGGAGCTTTACTATTATGTGTCTTGCTGTGTTTTTCCTTTCGTCGTGGAAGTTTGGTGTTCTTCTTGCTTCTTGTATATCAATTTTCAGCTCGTTCTTCGCATTTGGGAAGTTCTCTTCAATTATCTCCTGGAATATTTTCTCTGTTCCTACATCTCTCTCCTCTCCTTCTGGAATTCCTATAACTCTTATATTTCCTTTCCTCATGGAGTCAGATAATTCCCGAAGTCTTTCTTCATTCTTTTTCCTTCGTACTTCTCTTTCCTTTTCTGTTTTGGTTCTTTTTATTTCTGTGTCTTCAAGAGTACTTATTCGTTCTTCCATTTCATCTATTCTGCTTTCATTGCTTTTCCCAGAGTTCTTTAGTTCCTCCATTAATTCTTTGATCTCCTGCATTTCTTTTACTTCCCTCTTTAGGGACTCAATTTCATTCTTCTGACCATTGTTTTCCCTCTTTAGGGACTCAATTTCCTTCTTCTGATCTATCACTTTTTTAATCATGGCAATTTTAAATTCTCTTTCTGAAAGGCTCAGAAGTTCTTCCAAGTTGCTGTCGTTGCAATCTGGGGAGTGGTTTTCTTTTTGTGGTGTGCTTCTTTCCTGAGGAGTTGTTAGGTTGCGTGTGGTTCTTCTACTCCCTACTGTCTGTTTTCTAATTTGTCGTATGCATTGGGACACTGTGTTGCTCGGACTGGGTGGCATCTTGGGTGAACTTCTCCGCTCCCCTCTGGCTCCTCCAGGAGCCATCTCTGGCTTCTGGGGCAGCTTTCTGCTGGTTTTAGGCAGTTTTTACTGAAGAAATGTCCCTGTTCTAAAATGGCGAAGCGGGATGCAGTCCCTGCGCCTCCGGTTTCAGGCACACTCTTCTGCGCACCCGGTCTGCCCCGGACGTGGGTGCCTGCTCCCTCTGTGGGCTCAGACTGCTGGTCGGAAGGGGCCTGGCATGGGCTAACTTCCCGGCTGGCCACTGGGTCCTCCAGAAGCCTTCTGCCCTTTTCAAGCAGTCTTAAGAAATTTCCTGTTCTATGGGGTGTTAGTGACTTTTTTTTTCTGGTCGCTAGGTGGCGCTAGAGATCTCTCCTATTGTCCTTGGGGGGCTGTTTTTCGCCTCCCCCCACCCCGTGGGACAGGGAACAGAGCGGGAATGGTAGGGTAAACCTCAACAGCTTTGGGGTGCTGTGTCTGCCTTGTGCCCCACCGTCGTGGAGAACCCACGCCCCAAATTTCGTGCCCCGGGTCTCAGTTCCCAAGCCCTCAGGTCCAGGACGCGGGCTGTAGCCCAGTTCAGTGGCGCGGGAATGGCGCCTTTTGCACCCCACTCCCGTGCCTGGGCGCCTGGTTCCTGCTCAGGACTTTCACCCCCGTGAGGGCCTCTGCACGTCTCCCCGCAAGCCTAGGTCGCAGGCGCGGGGACCTGGGCAGCTGCGATCCTGGTCTGCGTTTGCTTTTCAAGCGTGCCGCCAAGCGCGCAGTTTATCCGCGCAAGCTTACCGGCAGCCCGGGCTGTGTGCGCGTCTCCTGGGGTCTTTGTTCTTCTCTAATGGCGCCCGGAGCTGTTCGCTCACCGCCGCGGCGAATCCTGCAGGGTTCTCCACAGCTCCCGTTCACAGGGTGTGGTGGCTGCAATAGTTCCTTTCCACTCACAGTCCTGCTCGCTGCGTAGTTTGTTCTTGTTGGCCGTTCTGGTTTGTTGTTTTCCTCCTCTCTGCCGGTTGGAGAGTGCCAGCTCTGTGGGCGGGGGAGGGGAGCAGGGTTCTGCGCTTCCCTCCCTTCTAGTCCTCTTTTATGGCCACTTTCTTCTTAGGGCAGTTTGCTGGAGTCGTCCGTTTATCTTCCGTGTCCCAGTTCTCACTGGGACCTGCCGCTTTTCCTCCCTATTAACTTTTTTTAATGGGAGATCTTACTCGCAGCGTCTCCTCGCCGCCATGTTGCTCCGCCCCTCTCTTTTTATACTTTATTAATGTAGTCCTAACTAATAACACACACACTTCACAAAGTCAAGTGTTTTAGTTTGAAAGGAGCCTTGTTTTTGGTAAATTCTTTAAATATTCAGTACTGGAGGGAAGAGTATGGGTAGTGAATACACAAACAAAATGCTCTTAACAATTCCCTAGACTTTAATTCTCATATATACATTGAAATTTTACTTTTTGTTCTTGCAGTTTTCAAATTGGTTTCACAATAATTTTTGAGCATATACCTTGAGTGACAGTAGGTGCTATGAACTTTCCATTTCAAAATCTTTTCAACTAGTGTTTCCATATTTTTTATTTGTCCTCCATTATAATCTTAAATGAGAATAATTTTGAACATTTCTTTTAACTAGACATATAGTCATATTAGCCAGTTAACAGATTTTAAACATTTGAAAATTAATGGACTTCAAACCTTTTTCTATTGGTATGTAAATTTTCAGAGTTGTACCCAAAGTTAAATAGATTTTTCTCAAAAAAACAGTGCTAATTTTCAGATTTGAAATCTCAAATTTAAGATGTTTATTTTGTTGCATTTGTTCATAAAATGTTTCTATTTTAATATCTATCAATATTTCATGAAGTATTTAAATTGCAGCTCAAGTAATTTTAAGTAGCTGTTAAATAATAGAGACAATGATGATGATGATAAACTAGAATTTACTGTCTGGCAGGAATTGTTGGTTTTGATCATATTTTATATTAAGAACTTGTAAGATAGGTGTTACTATTCCCCTTTCACAGAGAAAGAAACTAAAACAGGTTAAATATTTCCCAGGCAAAGCAGTAAGTGTAATTAAGACTAGACTCAAAATTTAATTTCCCTAAAACACACTGCTACTTATAATATATTAAAACTGCCACAATCAAAAACATTTTTTTAAAAAGGTTTAAGTGTTTATTTACACAATATACATTCAAAAATACAGTTTAGGGCCTCCTCGGTGGCGCAGAGGGTTGAGTGCAGCACTGTGAGGCTGTCTGCAGCCTCTGCAGTGTGGGTTCGATTCCAGCTGGCCAGGGAGAATCCCACATGGCGCAGCAGACCTCCTATTGCACCCACTCCAGTGTATTTCGGTCCTTCTGCCTGTTCTGCAGCCCTCTCTGTCTCTGGTGAATCCTCTCACCCTCCCGTGCCTCTGGCCTATACCCCAGCTCTCGTATAAAAATAAATAAATCTTCAAAAAAAAAAGTTTAAAAAAATAAAATTAAAATTAGAATGCAGTTTATTCAATACCCTGGGAGCCAACATGCTAAATATTTTAAAATATATGTTTGGGGAAGTGATTAAGGCCTACTGAAAGAAATTGAAGAGATTATAAAAAGGTGATTTTTTTTGGTTTGTATTATTTTTCAATAAATAAAGAATAAAATTTGGTGATAGAGATTAGGAAGAAGTTTTAGCCAGATTTCATGTGTTCTTAAGTGATTTATTTTTCTGTCACACTATCCAACTCACTAGTAAAGTACATTGAGAAAGAACAATCTCATCACAGAATTTGAATTTCATTCACAGAAATACATGGAGGTCTATGATGCTTTGATACAAACATTTTTAATATACCTCCACTCCAGGTCAAAAATAAACCTGCTAAAGATGTAAGTGCAATAGTAAATGAGTATTCTGTGGAAAAAGCAATTAAAATGAGTAGCTATTCATTCTGTGTTGGGAAATACCTGTGTTCCAAGACAGAATAACTGACCATTAAATGACTGATGAATTACATGGAGGGGATCGAACTCATAAGAAATGTAGGGGGTGCAGAAGGATAGGTAACTCAGAGTTAACTGATAGTCATGTAGACAACCTGTACCTTCACCATTATAAAAGTTTAGGCGTCCTGTAAGCTGGAGAGTTTTAAGAATATACATAATTATTGTCTTATGTATTTCTCAAATATGAATTGAAACCATTAGTTATTTCATCACAGTATTTTCTTCTTTGAAGAATTTTGTTTTAAGAGTCGATCTAAATCCATGTTTAATCATTCAGTTTTCTTTTCTGACTCTAGTTCTTTGTTCATGTTCCATATATATCTGGGTAACTCTTCTTCCTCATACGGTTTTTAGATGGGGGGGAGGTGGGAAGGGACACAAAAGTCCTGAATTGAAATCCCAGTTCAAAGCAGGATATGGAAACCTCTGTGTGTATTTAAGTCTTCAGAGACTCCTTTTCCTCATCGTTGAAGATAATTATTGACTCTACTTATCTCACATGTTTGGTAATGGGCACAAGAGATAATGTTTATGAAAATATTTTGTAAATGGTAAAATATACTTTACAAACAGTAGTGATTGTTTGACTTATGCACTTCAATCCTATCCTTTATTAGATTTATTTATACAAGTGTCTTTCTTTCCAAGTAGTCTTTGAAATTTCTTAAGATCAGGAATTGTGTTATCATTTTTGTTTCCTATTACATTAAAGTTTCTATTGAAATAATGAATATTAATATGCAATCTGGAAGTAATAATAACTTAAAATGGTCATAGTTTTTATAAAATTGTTCCTTTTTTTATAAAGTAAGGATCACATGACTACTAAAATTATGTTTTTCTAATTTAGAACAAAGCAACCTCAATAGACTATTTTATATTTAGATCATCAATTTTTAGTGTCAAATATTGAAGTTTGTTTTTTATTAATAGCTTCTCTGTACCTATTTTAGACTTTTTGTAGAACTTTTTCTTCTCTGAAAAACCTTTTTTTCACATTGAATAGTATATATAGCCAAACTTATGATCTTAGAAAACTGCAGTTTATTAGCATCTTTAGTTTTGTGTCACTTTGTGTAGAATTTTAACTTATTTTACCATCTGTCCTTTATTCAGTGGATGTATTATTGGCATTTTAGAATATATTTCTCAATACCACCTAAGAATTATTTAGAAATTAAGCACTTTAGATTTCTTGTCCTTGTGATAAATGTAATTTTTGTTTTCATAAGATATAAATGTTAATAAAATATAATAGATATTGTATTTAAAAGATTTTAAAGGAATTAATTTAAATTCTTCTGCTTAGATCATTGAGTTGGAAAATCGGATAAAATCTTTTGAGAAAAGATCGAGAAAGTTAAAAGAAGAAAATAAAAAAATAATGAAAGAAAATGATTTCCTGAAATCCCTTTTAAAACAACAGCAAGAAGATTTGGAGTCCAGAGGAAAAGAGCTTGAACAGTTACAAAAGAGGAATAAAGAGATAGAAAAAAACAATGCTGATCTTCAAGTAAAAATCAGTGAACTGGAGAGAAAAGTCACTTCCCTAAAGAGACAAGTTGCAGAAGCTAATGGGTTGAGTAATGAAAATGAAGAGCTGATAAATTCAATAGATAAATTGCAGCATTCAGCAGACAAAGCTAAAACTGAGATGGCCACCACAGAAGTGAGATCTAGACAATACGATTGTAAGACAACCACTACCCAGGTAAAATTGAAAGCCACCAAAAAAAAGTGCTCTGTAGGCCATTGCCACACTGTTCTCAATCACTCCATCAAGGTTAAGAGCAATATGTTTGAGAACCCCAGCAAGGAGGGCTGGGAGGATGTGAGTGAAAGCAGGTAAGGCTCTCATTAACTTAGCTCTGTGGTGGGGACACTGTGCATATGTAAAGTACCAGCAAATGGAGATTGAATTTCAACTACTGTCGATTTGGTATTCAGAAAAAATACTGTCAGATCCTTTGAAATATCTTGGGAGGTCTTGTTCTGAGCTTATTGACTGAAATTTGCATGCAAAATTAGCCACAACTGCATGAGTATTTGAATAGGTGCCAGGAACCCAAAAGAAGGCAATGCTTGATTTCTTCCAGTGATGCTATTTTCATGCAGTCATGAGGCTTGAAATTGACAGTTTGGCAGGTTGATTTAATTTGCTGGCCCTTTGCATATTCACCACTGACAGCTAAGGATTCCCAGGCAAGCCTACTAAGTCGGTTTAGTTATCTTGTGACATGCCAACCTGGGAGGAGAAACATTTTTCTCCCTTAATTTAGTTAGATAAATTTTGAATGACCCATTTCAGCTTGTTACCAGATGTCTACAAGCTGTTTAACATCCTCTAAATTAAGAACCATCTTCACTAATTATTTCATGTATGTATTATGCAAAGTCATTGTACTAACTTTAATTGAATGGTGGTTAAAAATTAGTTCTTTAAAGTTAAAGCTCGGTGGATTCCTAGTCTAAAGTTATATAGTCCCTAATGAATAGCAACAGGAAAATACTAAAAATCTATATTTCTTTCTCTTACCCCTGGCTGTATATTCATACATGCACTTGAAGTACATCAATAAAATCATGAAGTCAAATTGATATTAGAACATCTCTTTCAATATCTAGATAATTGCTAATACTAATTGAAAAATTGACTAATTGAAAATTTTTCCATAATTCTGCCTTGTTGTATAACAACATTATCTTTCCTTTATTTCCCAAGTTTTAAAAAATCCATAATAGTGGTTTGTTTTAGGTATGAGTTATCTACATAGTATTTGTAGTCACAGATAGAACTGAATCTTAGATTCAAATGTGATCTTCAAACTTGTTTGCCTATTAGAATCATCTGGAGATATTAGACAATATCTGAAGCTCAGGCCACACCCCAAAACAATTGAATCATAATTTCTGGGGCCGGATCAAGCTTCATTTGTTTTTGAATCTCCTCAGCTGATCCAATGAACAGCCCAAGGGTACACTGTTGTAAATGATCCTTGGGTCAGTTGAGCCCCTTGTTTTCAGATAGGTTAAAAAAAAATCTAAAAAATTATGAAAGCAAGGACGGAAGGACCAAATTGCAGTCCATTTCTTTGTCACCTCTTCTAAGATCTTTCATTTTGTCAAAATCAATTATAGCAAAATCCTGCTTAACTTAAAATCCACTGTGTTTTTTTTTTTTTTAACCTATGTCTCCAAAGAAATTCTAGTTTCAGCTACTAAATATATCTCAGCCAGTTGGTACTACCACACTCCTCATTACACAGTGGTGCAGTTTACACATGTGTGAGTATGTATGTATGAATAAATACATGATGGTTAAGCAATATACTCAGTACTAATTTCATCATATTAGTGCATGTATGAAAGAGTACATATTTGGGGAACGTATCACACAATATCTCTTAAAATATAGGATTGTCATTAAAGTTGTTTAGCAGTGAAATTTGGTTTTACATTGTAAGGATTAAGTGTAACATTTCTTGCCTGACAGAACAGCCTCAGGAATCACTCAGCTGCAAAGAATTCACAGACAATTAGAAATCCCTTGGTGGAGCTTCAGGACTTCAGAACATTCCATTTCTTTTAGCTTTTCATTGTCTGAAATATAAGAATATTGAGAAAAATAGTTTATAGTACTTGATACATAGGGATATGAAATACTATATTATATAAGTATTACCATTACAACATTTAAGCCTCAATTAAATTACAAGAGCATGCTATCAAATGAAAATAATTCAACTTAGTAACAAGCTTGAAGTCATTTATTTAAGGGAACACAAGTTATGGATTGGGGGAGTGCAGTGCCTAACAAGTAGTGGGGCACTCTGTCACACTTTGGACAAGAACAAATTTTATAAAAAATAGAAGAGGCAACTAGGAAACGGGGCATGATTAGCTTGGAGGCTGATTAGCTTTGAGGAGATTTTGTTAAAGCCCTATATTAGTCTATAATACAATATACATCCCAGAAAATCTTAAATAATTTTAGTGCACATCTACCAGGACTTCTGCTAAATACTTCTTAAATACACTTAGAATTTGAAATTGAATTCTGGACATCATACTCCATCAAAATCAGCTAGAACAGATTCAGGAGTCATGGGCAGGGCTGAGGGGAAGGACATATCAGAAGCATACATACATATTAGAAACATTTTAACAAGCTAGCTATGTTTTTCTTAGCAGTATTTCAGGCATCATATGACCATGTCCAAATAGTTAAAAGATCATCGATGTGGGGGCCTCCCTGGTGGTGCAAAGGGTTAAGTACCGCACTATGAAGCAATCCGCAGCCCCTGCAGCACGAGTTCGATCCCTAGCCATCCAGGGAGCAACCCACATGTCGAAGCAGACCTCTCCTGTCTCACCCGCTGCTCCCCTCAGCAGTGTATTTCAGTCAGTCTGCCTGTTCTGCTTCTCACTCTGTCTCTGGTGAATCCTCTGACCCCCCTCATCTCTGGCCTGTACCCCAGCTCTTATTGCATAAATAATCTTTAAAAAAAAAAAAAGATCATCGATGTGGAAAAGGGATTGAACTTACATATATGCTCTACTCAAGCTCATTACTTCAAATATTTTCTCCTTGCATTCTTTTTTCTCTAATACAAATGATTAACATACTTAGCATATTATACATTTTACTTATTCTTCCTGTTACCTGTCTCCTCTCCACCTTCCCCCCAGGATGTGAACTACACAAGGGCAGAGATCTTTCATCTTCTTTATTCACTTACTGCTTTATCCCTTATGTGCAGAAAAGTACCTCGCACATATTTGATGCTTTAAAACTATTGTATTCATTATCACTGTAATTTACATTTCAGATGGTTTTGAGGGGGTGAGATGTGTGTGTGGCAAAATAGTGACAACTGTTTACATCTACTTGGAGGGAATATGGGTATTATACCCTGTACCTTGAAATTTTTTTGTATGTTTGGAAATTTTCAAAATATAAGTGAGGATGATTTTAAAAAAAAAAAAAAAAACTATTGTATTATGTGATGAGTGGCTATACGTGCTAGAACTGGCACCGAAGTGTAAAAGGCTTAGAGCCTCCAATTTTACTAAGTCAAAACTTCCTGACAGAAATGTTAAACCTTTCTGCCCTGGCTCACACAGTAGTGAGTGCTCTAATCTTGAATATGTTAAAGCATGTGCTTCCTGAGTTGACAGTAGCAATACTATAAAAGTGAGGCTAGTAGTCATTTGATGTTAGATAATTTAATTTCTTGATGAGTTTTTATAATTTTATAAAATATATTTAGGCTGATTTTATCTCTTAATATTGGGAGCCAGTAAATGCTCTAACTTACAGCTTTATATTCTCTAATATTTGGGTTTTATGTCTCTCCCTTTTTTCCAAAAGCAGTGATTCTGAAACACAGAACTCTCAAAATTTTGGAACAATTATTGTAGAAACATCCCAGAAAATAAGACCCATAGAAGATGGAAGAGACCAGAAAGAAAGTGATCAAACAGAAAACAGCCAAATGCAAGGAAAAGAAATAGTACAAATACATTCAAATCCAGATGGCAAAGCCCCAAAGGTATATGTCAGTTTTACTTATTGATAAGCTATCTTTTTTATTTTATGCTTCATAACTAGTTAATTTTTGTTGCCAGTAATTTCATTTGAATCCTTAAAATAATAAATTTCCTTTGAAGCACACAGTGAAAATACTCACTTTTAAATAATTTTCAAGTGCCAATCTGTTACAATCCTTTACATAAGTAGAAATAAAATAGATACTTTTATCCAAAATAAAAATTTTAAGGTATTTGTAACCCATTTTCACCCCACCCCATAATAGTGATAATAAACTCCCTTTTTTTTAAGTTTATCAAATATATCAAGTGAAGAAACTTCTGTTTTTTTATTAGCCTTCGTAACAGTAAAGTTATTTGGTTTGACAAAATTTTCCCATTTCTGATTTCTACCTTATTCCCTACTATATTTTAAATCTTGAAAAACTGATGTTTAGGAATAACTTACTCAATAATTTTTGCCAATGATACATCATGTTGCCAAAATATTTACCTATTCAACATTAATCAGTAAAAAACTGAGGAACGATCATTTTATTTTTTTGTGAAAATTCAGATTGTCTGCGAATTAACCTATAAGGTTCTTTTAAAACCAGATATCTAAGGATTTGTTTTTTGAAATCTATCCAAAACTTTGAGGGAAAAAAAATGCAAGGATAACAAAGATTTATATTCATTATTAAAAGCATAAATTTCAGGTAAAAAATATATGCTAATTGTCTGTTGATTGATTAATTAATAGATTTTATAGAGACAACCTAATTCTGCCACCTATTACTTGGTTGGGAATTTTGTTTAGTTGAAGTCAGTTATGTGCAGTTTAATGAGTATGTAAATAAAAGTAACTCATAATTCCATTCATATCATACAGTGTTGAATACAATATTAATTACCTTGAATAGCTCTATACACACATTTTTTGCAGTCACAAAATAAGTGTTAATCAAATTGTAGAAATCGTGTTTGGAAAATATTAGAACTTTTCACTAACCCCAAAGGTAACTACTACCTTAATCACTCCCCTCCTTTTCTTTATAATTTACCTCTCCTAACATTATGGTTAATTTTAACTGTTTGAACTTTATGGCATCTCTGCAGCAGGTCTTTTGTTTGTACCTGGCCTTTCTGGTGTTTGTTATGTGGAATTCATTCATTTTCATTGTTGTATATGGTATTTCTGATCATACCCCAGTTTGTTTATTCACTCTACTGTTGAACTTTTGGTTGCTTCAGTTTGAATTTCTTATAAATTTCAATGAATATTTTTTTCAAGTATTGCGTTGCACAAGTGTAGGCATTTCTGCAATGTATTAGCTTGGAGTGGAATTATTACACCATAGATTATGTTGTTTCTAAGATTTTAATTGATAATGCTATTTTCCAAAATGTTGTACCAATTTGTTGCACACACTAGCAAACCAGGAACATTTTTTTTGCTTCTCATCAGTACTTGACATGCTAGTCTTACTTATTTCAGCCATTTTTGTGTGTACATTAAGGTATATCATAGTTTGTTCAATTATGTTCTGTGTTTTCTAATAAGGAGTTAGGTACTTTTTGTAATTGTTGACCATTAGGAATTTATTATTAAATTGCTCATTTCTCTGTCCATTTTACAAATGAGTTGTCTGTATTTTTTTTTTACTCACTTGTAGCGAGAAGATCTTGTGTTATATATGAGTATGTTGTTGGCTATATTCATTGTCGATATGGTTTACTACTCCAAGCTATGCCTTTTTGCTTTTCTTAATAGAGTATTTGTTTTAGTCATCTTTCAGTCTTTTATTTAAGTCATCTTAATCTGATATGGTCAGATTTACTATTTTTTCCTTTATGATGAGCGCTTTTTAGGTTCCATATAATAATTTTTAACCTACTCCACCTTAACTAATTTTTATACTACCCTTCCTTGTTATCTTACTTTTTTGATGTTCATGTCTATGTTTGACATTGATTTTTTTTTTTAATTTATGCATACAAGAGCTGGGGTGTAGGCCAAAGGTATGGGGGAGATTGAGTGAGAAGATTCACCAGAGACAGAGTGGGCAGCAGAACAGGTGGACTGACTGAAATATGCTGCTGAGGGGAGCAGCAGGCAAGAGAGGAGAGGTCTGCTGAGCATGTGGGTTAGCTCCCAGGCTGGGGATTGAACTTTGGCTGCCCATAGCTTCGTAGTGCTGAGACTTAATCCTTTGCACCACCGGGGAGGCCTGGCATTGATATTTTTGCAGATAATGTATGATAGGAATTAAGTTTCACATTTTTCCCCAATGTGATGTAAATTAAGATATGCATAGACATGTGGGTATAGTTCTAGGTTTTTGCTTCTGTCTTATTAGTATATATACCTGTATCGTGCATGAGATCTCATTACTGTTACTATTTTTAATTATTGCAATAACAATTATAACCTTATCTAATTTTCAAGTGTGCAGCATTATAAATCAATGTCTGTATATACTACACTAAGTTTACCACTTAAAGTCTAATTCTGTCCTTCACCATATATCTGGTCCCTTTTACCATATTTACTTTCCTCATTCCCCCTTGCCTAATTTGGTTTTTTAGTCTAAATGTTTATTTTGTTTTATTTAGTTCTTTTGTTTGTGTTTCTTTATATACCACATATGAGTAAAATCACATGGCGTTTATCTTTCTTTTTCTGACTTATTTTCCTAAGAATAACACCCTCAAACTTCATCCATGTTGTTGAGAATGGCATGATTTCAACCTTGTTGTAGTTGAGTACTATTCCGTCGTGTATCTATCTAGCCACCTGTTCATGGTCATTTAAGTTGTGCCAACTATTGGCTATTGTAAATAATGCTGCAGTGAACATAGGATGCATATATCTCTTCAAATTAGTGTTTTTTGTATTCTTAAAGTAAATACCTAGAAGTGGAATGGCTGACTTGCATGAAATTACTGTTTAAATTTTTTGAAGAATCTCTGCACTGCACCAATTTACATTCCCACAAACAGTTCCCTTCTTTCCTCACCCTTTCCAACACTCGCTGTTTCTCGTCTTTGAATAATACCTATTCTCATAGCTGTGAATAATAGCTCATTGTTATTTTGATTGGCAATAATAAAAAGATATTTTTTTTTCATGTGCTTTTTAGCTCTCTGTCTATCTCCTTTGGAGAACTGTCTCTCATATTCTCTGCCCATTTTCTTATCTGGTTTGCTTGGGAGTATTTTTTGTAGTTTTTTGAGTTCTTATATTTTGGATATTATCCCCTTGTTGGATGTATCATGTGCAGTTATCTTCTGTTAAGTAGGATGTCTTTTTGTTTTGATGATAGTTTCTCTCACAGTCCAGACACGTTTTAGTCATTACTGTTATTTCATTTCTTTTAAAGATTTATTTATCTATACATACAAGAGCTGGGGTACAGGCCACAGATGCGGGGGGTGAGAGGATTCACCAGAGAGAGAGCGCGGGGAACAGAACAGGCAGAGCAACCGAAATATACTGCTGAGGGGAGCAGCAGGCGAGACAGGAGAGGTCTGCTGTGCCATATGGGCCACTCCCTGGCAGGCTGGGGGTCACTCCCTGGCAGGCCGGGGGTAGAACTCCTGCTGCAGAGGCTGAGGATTGCTTCACAGTGCATTGCTTAACCCCTTTTGCCACCAGGGAGGCCCTAGTGTTATTTTATGGTAGTTTTAAATTGACAGTAGGGCAAATCTCTCACCTTGTTGTTTTTCGAGGATTGTTGGTTTCTTGCCCTTCAAAATAGATTTAGAACAAGCTTCTCAAATTAAAAAAAAAAATCCTTTTAATAGGAACCACATCTGTTAAAATTTTTGAGACGATAATAAAGAGATTTTGAAAGGTAAAAAGAAGACAGAGACCAGGTAGGGACTTCAAGACTAGCGGAACAACATGGATGCTAAGTTCTCTCGGTTTTCATTTTGCCTCATATATACAGGCCTGGATACTGAAGAAACCTGCAACCTGGAAATGCCAATATGTCAGATAATAAAAGCCCCCAATAAAACCTTGTTCTCTTGAGTCTAAAAGACTGGGAAATTGACATCATACTAAGACAGAAAACTTTTTCACAACAATCTCCTTACTCTAGCCAGACATCACATGAAGAAATACAACCTTACCTCTACCTCATCGGTAAAATACTAGTGGGGAGCCTGTACTTTACCTCTCTTCTGAGTATAGAGAGGTATCCCTTTTCACTGCCCCTCCCATTATGGTGGCATTAGAGAAGACCATGTGAGGTACCAGTAGTGATAACTCCCTCCCATCTATGTCAGTGGAGACCACATGGATCTTGGACATACATCTACATCCAGCAGTGAAGAGATACTCTTTCCCTTTATACCAGGAATGATTTCAAAGGCCAAATGTGAAGATAGGGATTTTCATCAGCCTCCTTATGAAAAAAGGCTACCATATATCAATGGGAAGGCTAAGCAGTGGGCAGAAACAAGGGTATACATTCCATCTCCAGCCAAGGTAGTATCAGCAGAGGCCTTTGATGAGCCTGATCTTCTACCCCTATTCAACAGTATCAGAGGAAGCCTGGTAAAACAAGATTTAAATAAGATCCAGAATTCTGAAGCATAATACCCCAAATATATAAGATACTGGTGAGAATCATTGATCATACCAAGAAACCAGTAATGTCTCAGCAAGAATGAAAAAAGAAAACAAAGGCAATAATACACGACAAAGATGTGTTGGAGTTATATGACAGGTATTTTAAAGTAGCTGTCATAAAGATGCTGCAACAAGCAGTTATAAACAGGCTTGAAACAAATTTTAAAAAAAAAAGTACATCTCAAGAAAGAAATACAACGTATCAGCAAAGAAACAGAAGATATAAAAAAAGGACCAAATGGAAATTTTAACCTAACAATGAGATAACTATTTTGTGTTCATACAGAGGCATACATCAGCCCCTATCACACAGTTTGATGTCAAGACCGATGACACCACACACCCACCAAAAGGGAAAGAAAGGTTGATTACTTAGAATAGAGTATGTAGAAATGGATCCACAAGTATGAACAAGTGCAAAAGCAGTTCAGTAGAAATAGTGTTGAAGCAATTGGTTGTCTCTAGGCCAAAAATAAGCCGATACCTAAACCTCATCTTACAATGTAAAAATTAAGTTAATCAGTTACATTAAATTACAAAAAATTTTTTTAAATAAACATTTGTGCTTTATTTATTTATTTATTTATTTTAATTTATACAAGTACTGGGTATAGTCAGAAGCACGGGAGGGTGGGAGAATTCACCAGAGCCAGAGCGAGGAGCAGAGCAGGCAGAAGGACCGAAGTACACTGCTGAGGGGAGCAGCAGGTGGCAGGAGAGGTCTGCGCGCCATGTGGGACCCTCCTCCAGTGGCCGGGGAGCAGCCGGGGATCGAACCGGCGCTGCAGAGGCTGCGGGCAGCTTTGCAACCCAGTGCTCAACCACTGCTCCACCGGGGAGGCCCTAAATTACAAAATTTAAAAGGACGCATAAGCAAATTTTTGGGATTTAGGACTTATCAAAGAGCTTTATACATGATCCTTAAAAAGAAAATGTCAGTAAATTAACTTACACAAAATTACGAACTTTTATTTTGCAAAAGACTTTGTTGCATGGATAAAAAAACATCCTACAAACTAGGAGAAAGTATTTACAAATGATATACCTTGCAGAGGACTCATGAGTATATAAAAATTTCCTCAAATCAAAAGTTTTCTCAAATCTCAGAAGTAAAAAATATCAAGCAATATAGTTAGAAAATGGGCAAAAGACATTAATAGACATTTTACTGAAAAGGATAAAAGAAGGGAAAATTATCACATATAAAGATCTTTAACATCACTAACTGTTAAGGAAATGCAGATTAAGACCATGATGAGATATACCTTAACTAGAATAGCTAAAATTAAAAAAAAAGTGATGATATCAAATGATGGCAAGATGCAGAGAAACTAGATCTTTCCTACACTGCTGGTGTAAATGTGAGTTCTTGTTATTAGTTGTAGAATTTTATTGTGCAGGTTTTTAATACTCTTCATAAATTACTGTTCTTAAGTAAATACACATTATGTTGGGTTACTTGATGTTATTGAATAATAAATTAATTTTTATGTAACTTTTAATTTTAGGAATATTTTCATTACAAGATTCCAAAAAAATCAACTTTTTCAAAGAAGAATGGTAACATTCAAAAGAATTCCTATACAGCAGTTCCTAACAGAGGTAAGAATGCATTTGAAATCAACAGTGTCTTTCTAATTTAATATGATTTTTAAAATATCAACAATTTTTATATTGTTAACAGAGAAAAGTAGAAAAATATTATCAGCTTTTTTTGTATAGTTAACAGGGAAAGGTGGAAAAATGTAACTGCCCAGAAATCAAATAGCAGTATTATTTTATTACGAGAACGGATCATAGCCTTACAACAACAAATCAGTGTACTTCAGAATTCAAAAAAAGCAGCGGAATTGTCTGTTAAAGAATACAAGGAAGTCAATGAAAAGCTCCTTCATCAGCAACAAGTATCTGATCAACGATTTCAGACAAGCAGACAGACAATAAAGGTAAAGGGAACTTTACAAATAAATAGACTATGTTCTAATAAAAATTATAAAAATGAATATTTTGTTTTACAAATATTTGACTCATATTGTTTTGGACTTGTCTATGACCTAAAATATAAATTCCCATGCACTAATTAATGTCAGAAGATCAATACCTGGATTTTTTAATTTTAATTTTTTTATATATTTTTTATTTTTTACTTTCATTTTTAAACAATATTTGCTTCCCCCTATCCCCTCAGGTGTAGTCCCCATAGAGTTTCCTTCACTAATGCACCCGTGCACCATCACCTCAGTCCCCTGTGCTCTTCCCTCCCTCCCTCTGATCCCTCTCCCTCCTCCTCCCCTGCAGTATGTCTCTGATATATAATTGTCCATTTTTGCTTTGTTGTATTTTGTACCGTTATTATTTTTTACACTGATATCTTATTTGGTTCCTCTGTATTCCTGCTATAAGTGAAACCATCCAATATTACCCCACTGATTGGGAAAAAATCTTTGCACTCCAGTCAACTGATAAGGGACTGATCACACAGATTATAAAGAACTCACACTACTCAACAAAACAAAATAAACAATCCAGTCAAGAAATGGGCAGAAGAACTTAAAAGACATTTCTCCAAAGAGGAAATGCAAATGGCCAACAGGCATATGAAAAAATGTTCAACTTCTCTTATCATCAGGGAAATGCAAATTAAAACCACACTGAGATACCACCTTACAATAGTAAGAATGGCACATATCAAAAAAACAAGCAACAACAAATTTTTGCAAGGATGTGGTGAAAAAGGAACTCTCCTACATTGCTGATGTGAGTGCAAACTGGTCCAACCGCTATGGAAAGCTGTCTGGAGGTTCCTCAGTCTACTAAAAATGGATTTTTTTTATTAATAAGGTGTATATTAAGAGACAACCTACTTAAGGGATGAAATTTTATATTAATAAAACAAATATATTACTAGCATTCCTTTTTCACTTAGTTCTCAATATTTTCATATGTTCTTTATTGTGTGGCATTTTAAGATGGGTCCTTTAGTAGAAAATTAGGTTTAGAAGTGGTTCTGAGGGAGGGACCCTCATAAAGGGCCTAGTGCCATTATCAGAAAAGGAAACACTTGCTCTCTTCAGCATAGGGAAACAGCATAAAAAGCAGTTGTCTGCAAGCCAAAAGGAGAGCTCTCACCAGTGTTTGACCCTACTGGCATTGGACCTCATACTGCCATACTGCCAGCCTCTATAATTATGAGAATTTAATAGCTTTTGTTTATATCACCCAGTCTGTTGGTTTTGGCTTTGTATTTTTTTTTTTTTAATAGAAACCTGAGCTAACTCATAGTTGGTCCCAGGAGTTGAGTGCTGTTGTAACAGACACCTGAAAATGTGGATGCAGCTTTGAAACTGGATAATGGGTAGATGTTGCAAGAGTTTTAGTGTGAAGGCTATAAATGTGGACATTAGGGGTATTCCGGAGAGGTCACAAATTGAAATAAGGAATGTGATGTATTTCTTATTATAAAGTGTCAACGAACTTGCTTGAACTGTGTTCTGTTTGTGGAATGTAGAACTTTTGAGCAATAAAATTGTATATATTTTCTACTAGAGCTTTATTTTTGGCAACTTTAGGTTCACAGCAAAATTAAGAGGAAAGTACAGAGATTTCTCATATATCCCTGGCCACCACACATACACAGTTTCTTTCATTATTATTACCCTCACTAGAGAGGTACACATATTCCAGTGGATGAACCTACAGTTACATATCATAATTATCCAAAGTTCATCATTTACACTATAGTTCACTCTTCTTTTGTACATTCTTTGGGTTTAGACATATATATAATTGCATGTATGCATGTATCTATTATTATGGTATGACACAGTATTTTTACTGCTCTAAAAATCTAATGTGCTTGTCTTATTCATCCCTCCCCATCAACATGTGGGAAACAGTGATCTATTCACTATTTCCATAGTTTTCCTCTTCTAAAATGTAAAGGTGTTGAGATCATACATTAAGTAGGCTTTTCAGATTGGCTTCATTCACTTACTAATATAATTTAAGTTTCCTCTATGTCTTTAATGACTCAGTAACTCCATTTTAGTACTGAATAATATTGCATTGTCTGGCTGTAGCACAGATTACTTCTCTATTCACTTACTAAAAGACATCTTGATTGCTTCCATGTTTTGGTGATTATGAATAATACTACTATAAACATCTGTGTGGAAGTTTTTGAATGTTTCCACTCCTTCGGGTAAATGCCAAGGAGCATGATTTGGATCATCTGCTAAGATTATGTTTAGTTTTGTAAGAAACCAGCTAACTGGCTTCCAAAGTGACTGCTCCATTTTGCATTCCCACCAGAAATGAATGAGATTTCTTATTGCTACACTTCCTGGCCAGGATTTGGTGGTGTCATTTTTCTGGATTTTGGCCATTCATGTAGGCATGTGTCTTATTTTAATTTGCATTTCCCTGATGACATAAAATGCAGAACATGTTCTTTTGTGCTTACTTGCTGTTTATCTCCTTTGGAAAGGTGTCTGTTGAGACCTCTTGCCCATTTTTTAATTGACTTGTTTTCTTATTGAAGAGTTTTAAGAGTTCTTTGTATATTTTCAATGGCAGTTGTGTATCAGATATGTCTTTTGCAGATATTTTCTTCAAGACTATGGTAAAATGGGTCTTCTCATTGTCTTTCACAGAATAGAAGTTTTTTACTTTAATGAAGTTCAGCTTATCAATTTTTTTAAATGGATCTTACCTTTGCTGTTGTATCTAAACAGTGATTGCCATACCCACATGTCATTTTGAGATACCCTTGTGTTATCTTCTAGGAGTTTTTTAGTTCTTCATTTTACTCTTAGGTCTGTGATCCATTCTGAGTTAATTTTTGTGAAGGATGTAAATCTGTCTAGAAGTCAATTTACAACTTATTAATAGTAAATAGGCAGAGCTACAGAGAGAATTAGTGAACTAAAAAATCAGGCTATATGGAATTTAGCATTAAGAAATATGGAGATAGCAAATATGAAATACAGAATAAGAATTTTAAGAAGAGAAAGTATGTAAATTCCAAAGAAAAGTGAAAAAGAAAATTTGAAAAAAGAACCAAAAGCAGTATAGTCTAAAATTAATCACTATATCTGTCCTTATATGGTGATATTCTTCCTGCATCTTACATATTGTTACTTGAAATAACAAAGGTCAAATTTTTTAGTTCCAGACTATTTTTTCTGAATGTAACAAAATAAATATAAATGCATTTATTTATTTATAGTTACCTGTTCTAAAGATTGTATTTTATGGGCCTGCCTGGTGGCGCAGCGGTTGAGCGCTGGGTTGCGAAGCTGCCCGCAGCTTCTGCAGCATCGGTTTGATCCCCGGCTGCTCCCCGACCACCAGAGGAGGGTCCCACATGGCGCGCAGACCTCTCTTGCCGCCCGCTGCTCCCCTCAGCAGTGTACCTCAGTCCTTCTGCCTGCTCTGCTCCCCACTCTGGCTCTTGTGAATTCTCTCACCCTCCCATGCCTCTGACTGTTCCAGTACTTGTATAAATAAATAAATAAATAAATCTTTCTTTAAAAATAAATAAATAAATAAATAAAGATTGTATTTTATAATTTCGATTCTTAGTTTGGTTTAGTAGGATTTATTTTATTATTATTATTTTTTAAAGATTTGTTTATTTATACAAGAACCAGGGTACAGGCCAGATGTGTGGGAGGGTGAGAGGATTCACCAGAGACAGAGTGGGGAACAGAATAGGCAGGCTGACAAAATACACTGCTGAGGGGAGCAGCGGGCGAGACAGGAGAGGTCTGCTTCGCCATGTGGGATTCTCATCCAGACGGCCAGGATCGAACCCATGCTGCAGAGGCTGCGGATAGCTTCTCAGTGCAGCACTCAACCACCTGTGCAACCAGGGAGGCCCCAGGATTTATTTTCTGTATCAGTTTTTGAATACCGTATTTTGGGAGCATTTATTCAGACTGTTTTCTGTTTAATATGTGTACTAATTTTGAGAGTTAGTGATTCTTGACACACATATCCATGTAGGGTAAAGTCACAGACTTATATATCCTCATCAGAGAGAGTTGAGAATTTTTTTCTGGGCTATTGTTTATTGAGATAAAGTATATTTACATCTTTGCATATGCTCTGGGAGTTATAGATTCAAACTTCTACAAGTATATACTTTCACACCCTGCCCATCACCAGAGTGCAAATAGTCCTCCACCATGTTCCCTGGGGCCCCTTCCCTCAATCACTCCAACCCATCCCCAACTGGTTGCCTTAGTTTTGCAATCAGATGTTAACAGTTTATTGTTGGTTTGGTTTTGACTGATCCCTTGTTATGGTTGTTTATTTTATTTACTCTTTCTAGGAAAAATTTCAAGTTTTATTATGAATTATTTTTTAGTCTTTAAAAATAAAGAAATGCTCTAGAAATACCCCCAGAAATTAAGATACATAGGTCCGTATTTTAACAAAATAACACTTTGTAATAATAATTATAATATGCTTAAAATTTAGTGTATGAACTAAGTGTGGATTTAGGTGATAAAATTATACAAAAATTGAATCCATGGTGGTAGTATCTTATTTACTTGCTTTTATCTCTTTCAACAATGCTATTGACATCAATACTTATATATTCGATCTTTATTTTCTAGTGTTATTCTGTAATACTTCAATGTACCTAATTAAAAAAAAAATCATCTCTTCTTGTCAAGTTTATTGTATTATACATCTTTAAAATTCTCTATAGACTCTTTGCAAGAGTCATATTCATGTTTAATTTGTTACCATAACTGCCTTAAAATGTCCTGTAATAACTGTTCTTTCAGCTGTTAACTGGTAGGAGTAATATAATTAATGTTAACAAAATATATTAGCCTATCATATTGTTCCTTTGCAGATGACTTTGAAAACTGCATCATTCTACTTTACTATAGAAGACATTTTCAGTTGCTTCTCTGTCACCACAAACTAATCA